GGGGGGGTCTCCAGGAGGAACCAAAGCTTCGAAATGACTTCAGAGAGAGGGAGAGGAGAAGGGAATTAAAGAGGGGAGGGGGGTGTGTGTGTGGCTAGGGGGGATGGGCTGGGGGTGGAGGGGGGGAGAAGCCCGAAGTTTGCCGTGCGTTTGCAGCGGTGCGGAGGTGAGGCGGGCGGGCTGCAGCGCGGAGCGGTGCGGGGAAGGCGCTGCCGGCGGAGAGAGCGCGGGGAGCGGCGGATGCGGGGACGCGGGGCCGGGGCGGGTCGGGTCGGGTTGAGCCGGACCGGGATGAACCGGGCCGCCCCCCGGGGGCTCCTCAGCTCGCCCCCCGGCCCCGCTCCTCTCCGCCCGCTCCGGGGAAAAGTTGGCCGAGCGCCTTGCATCGGCGTGACAGCCGGTCCGGGGGGGTGAGAACCAAGGTGGGCAGCAGGGACGGGGCTGGAGAAGAGGAGCGGCCGGGGGAAACTGATCTGGGAGGCGGCGGGCCGACCGGGGAAGCGGCGCGGGGCAGGTAGATGGGCAGGCGGCAGCGCTGCCCGCCCCAGGTGCACCGCCGGCGGAGAGAACTCTGCTCCGAACGCGTGGGGAGGAACGTTGTGCTCGGCCGGGGCTGCGAAGGGGCCGGCGAGAGAGGGGCTGCCCCGAGATGCTGGGGGCTGCAGGGCACGGAATGCGGCCGAGCAGCGGTTCAGGGCCGGAGCAGGAGCGGAGGGTGCACTTTCCCGAAGCTCCCATTGTGAAATGAAAACACACACCGCCCCCCTCCACCCCCCTCCCCCCTCAAATAATAATAATAATAATAATAAAAAAAGCTAAGAAGCGAGGAGAGGGAAGGAGCTAGCCTCCCTTCCCCTTCCCCCCCCCCCCCCCCGGCAGCATCCCCCCTCCTCTCCGTTCCCAGCCTCGCAGCACAGCGAGAGGGGTGAGCGAGCGCCCGTAGGCAGCACCGGGCCACGTCTCCGCCGGCCGCCCAGAACCCCACGGGGTTTGTGCCACGGGTAGAGGGGTCGGCCAGGTCCCCAGTGCCCTCCGCTGCACCGGACACGGGGATACAAAGCTTGCAGGAGTGGGGGCGGGGGGTTCAGGGGGGGTGGCTTCTACGTTTCTCTCCGAAAGCATCGGACCCGCTTGAGGGGGGGGAGTAGAGGAGGGGGGGATCAGAAAAAGCCGCGCACGCCGTGGGGAGGTTGAAGGGAGGGGGGTGGCCGGATTGAGTCTCCGCATCCCGCTGGGAAGGCCGGACCCCCCCCGTTACCCCCACCTCCTCCCTGAGGTATCCGCAAGTTGCAGTGCTGCGGGGGGCGGCGGCGCGCACGGAGGCAGCCCGGGGCTCAGCCTGAGCCGCGGCGGATCCGAATATTTATGTTCAGATTTTAAAAAATTTAAATAAATAAAATATTCCCCCGGCTTCTCTCCCCTCCCCTGAAAGCCAAGAATAGGAGCCATCTGCCAGGAGCATTTGGTGCTTGCGAGCTCCTCTCTTTCTTTGTTACCGGTGATAAATTTCTGTTTGTAAGATTTCCCCGTGAAACGATAGATAGATGTGTATATGATTTTTCCAGCTCCCGTGAGATCTTTTTTCTTTTCGTAGGGAATGGTTTGGAAGGGATGTTTGGGGCTCCGAAATTTCAATTTCTTTCGCTCTTTCTGTGTTTCCTTTTTTTTTTTTTTTTTTTAACCTATTCCTCCCCCACATCCCCCCTAGCCCATCAGCTGGTGGAACACAAATGAAGATGCGTCTGGGTATCAGCTCTCTTTCGGGGGGGGGGGGGGGGGGGAGGGGGGGGGGGGTGGTGATATCTGTATAATTCATTGTTATTTTGGAACCAGATTTGCATCACCATAAAAGGTGGATTCCCCCCCCCACTTCTTCATTAATCACATTTGTGTTATTAACCATCCAGTTTGGAAAATGCATTTCCCCTTTCCTTATCCCCACCCCCTCCACTACCTTTATTTTTATTTTAAATTTAAGAAAAAGCATCATCAACCCAAACACAACAGATCACCCCGTGCCATTTCTTCCACTTTCCCATCTCAGTTGTGAGGAGATGTGGGGTGTAGGGGAGGAGGGGGGAGTGCGGAAAATTGGGTTTGTTGCGCACGTCTGAATTTGTTTAAAGGAGTGAAATATTTCTTTTCTCACTGCTGTCGCTGCTTGGGGTGCTGGGGTGGGGGTGCTGGTGTTGGAGAAGAGAGCCAGGTAGGTTTGTTCTTCCAATTTGATCTCATTTTCTGATCGCTTTACTTGAAAGTAAATAATGAAGCAGGAGAGCATAGAGAGGTGCCGAGGAGCTGCGTGTACAATGGGTTTAGCGGGGAGGCTGGGGAGGAATGGAGAGCAGAGCAGTACACAGCTTCCCTCCCTCCCTTCCGTGTTTATCTCTCTCTCCATCCTAAGGAAGCTGGCGGAGAAATCATGCTGCATACTGAGCAGTGGCAGAAAAAAAGGAAGGTATCCAGGAGAGGAGGGGGTGGGAGCCAGAGGGGCTGCGTAGGGTTGATGCTGGGGGGAATGGAGGCATTGCAGCGCACTGAGCCCCAGCTGCGGGCTGCAGGAGGGTGATCGCATGATCGCACCCTGCTCTGGTAGAGGTGCAGTTTGCAACCAGGAGATCGAGCTCTGAGAAGGGTATTGGGAAAGTAGTGGGCAGCAGGAAAGCGAAACACTTGCAGCAGAACAAACTCAACCCCAAGCCAAGCCTCTAAAGCCAGGATGGATTGAGAACTGCTTTCTGAAATCTCGCATTTATGTCATGTTTAGCTTGGGCTTCTGTTTCCCTCCCCCCCCGCTCTCTGGTTTTGGCATCTGTCAGGAGAGTTGCATTTCAGGATGGATTGGAGGTCTGTGCCAGGCAAGGAAAGGGAGATGGGGAGAGAGATGAGAGAAAAGAAGAGAAGGGTTTTCTGACACCGCTTAGCTGGAGTTGATTGGGTTTCATGCTCTCGGTGTTCAAAGAAATGTTTAGACCCTGAGTGTAAGGCAAACAAACAAACACAAAAAAGCAGAGAGGCTGCAGTGGAGCTGTGCTCCAGAGTTGCAGTGTCTCATTAGCACCTTGGTCCTCAACACTGTAAAGTAAAGCGGCCTGTTCATCCTGGCCAGGCTCACCCAGGCAGCCCCGCAGTGCATGCATATGCTGCACAAAAAGGGGAAACACATGGAGAGCACAGAGCAGCTCCAGAACACGGTGCTGGTGAACAGAGCAAACTTGGTGGTTGAGCTCACTTAGATGGGTGGACAAAACAAGAGAGGCAATGAGGTAAAGAAGAGGAGAGGAAACGGAGCTGTAGAGCTGCTCTGTGCAAAGAAACATTAGTTTGGTTTGATTCTAACTGCTGATTTTCCAGCTTCGGATCTGATTTTTTTTTTCTGTCTTTTTTTTTTTTTCTTTTGCTTTTGAACTTGAGAAATCTGCCTTCAAACCAGCTCTGCATTTGGGTTTCAAGGAAATGTAAAAGGCGAGAGCATGTGCAGAGCTTGCTGAGTGCAGGTTTGCAGGAGGCGGCAAAGCGAGAACCTTTCTGCGGAGCAGCTGCGAAGGTTGGGAGGGAGAGGCACAATGAGATTGTACGGCTGCAGGTGCAGGGCCAGTTCTCAAGAAGGTTCTTCCTGCCTGGTCAACAGGTTCCCTAGGAAAAGTAATAATTTCCTGTAACATTTTACATTAAAAATAATAACAAAAAGCACTCCGATTTTTTTGCATGTCAAAGTTCTGCAAATTGCTTCAAGTAGCTTCTCTTAAAACATGTTTAGATCCAGTGTCATGAGTGAGCTTTATCTCGTGGAAAGAAACACAGTAGTGCAACCAACTCTCATGCAAAGAGACTGAAGGGTTAGAGAGGAAATCGTTTTGGTGATGGCTGCTTTGGCCGTGATACTCGCACAGTGCGCACAGAACGTGTCTTAGAAAGACGTTACATGTGTCGTCTCTAAATAGGGCAGGAAAGAAAGGGGCCGTGTGCTGTTGATTTCCAGGTTGCTTTTCATTTAGATCTATTTGTATTTGATGTGAGATTAGAAAAAATAGCGACGTATGTTCATAGTTTCTGAGCTTTTAAAATATTTTGATAAAAGTGCTGTGCAGTGATGGTGAATCTGGGCTGCTTCGTCCTTTTGGTTGATGTGCTCAGTGGCTGAGATGGATGTTCAGCGGGTGAGAAATCATTTTGCATTTGTTTGCCGCTCGGCAGATGAAGAGCATATTTAGTCAGGCTGCTTTAAATATTGAGAACCAAGTCTTCAAGGTTTTACAATCCAGTTGCATCTAATGGGAGCGGCCAGAGCCCCAGTCTTGTGCAAAACGTCTGTTTCTTTGCAGAACAAAGGGTTGTCTGGTGGCAGATTTGACAATAATTATGACTTAGAGGAGTGCGCGCTGGTAGAAGTCATACAAATTATCGCCATCAGTTCCCGACTCCAGTTGCCACCTCCTCGGCTAGCGAACCTTTCTCGCCTACAAAAAACCCTTCGCACACAACGTTGCTTCCTCTTCCCCATTTCCTACCTCCATCGCTTCGCGCTCCGCGCTGTTTGTTGATAGAAAACACTTTCCAAAATAAACTTTGCTGGCTGGCAGCCGTGCCGCCGGGCCGCCTCGCGCCAGTGGCGGCTGCTGACGACTAGGGGGAGCTCGGAGCCCGCCGATGTGCGCTGGGCTCCGGGATGCGCCGCGCCGGGAGCGGCGGCCGCCGCGCGGTGTTCGCAGCCTCAACTTGGAGGATCGATTTTCACGCGCAGATCTTCCCGGCGCTCGGTGAGAGGGGCTGCGAGGCAGGCGCAGCTATTTTTAGCTAAATCGCGGCTAATCGACTTGGGATTACGGGAGGTTTTTTTTTTTTT